GATTGCAAAGCGGGACGTCCAGGTGCTCCTCCAGTCAGAAATTCGGCAGGAGCTATCCAAGCGCGGCGCGCCTCTTGTCGGCAAGCCCTGGGAGCTCAAGGCGCGGCTGGCTGAGATCTGGCAAGCGGAGGAGGACCAGGAGGACGCCTCGGGAGGTCTCTCGGGGCCGCTCTTTGCCTCCGCGGCGGTGCCGAGCTTTGCGCAGAAAGCGGCAGGCCCCTCCGACGATCAGAGAGACGCGGCGGCCGACCGTGTCAAGGCCATTCGCGACAAGTATGCCGACAAAATGCGGCTGCGCACGGGGTCGGGGCTGCCGCACCAGAGCGACGCAGCTGGCAAGGACGCCGCGGTTCACTGTGCAATCGCGGGCGCCGCGGCCAAAGCGGTGTCGCCCACCGGCTGGAGGTTCCGGTCGGGCGCGAGAGAGCTGTGCCAGTATCTCGACGTGCGCGGCATCCGGCGCATCCTGCTCGACGATAGCTCGGCGACCGTGGAGGAGGCGGCCGACCGGGCGGCGGAGCTGACCCGTCAGTTTCAGCTCGAGGCGTGGTGTCACGTTCTGTCCCCAGCCGACGCAGCGAAGCTCTATGCTGGCGATCCCGCCGCCCTCGAGGCGGCAGGGGACGCCGTCGGGCTGCCGCTCTCGTCCATTCTACTTCTATCCGCCGAGCCGCGCGCCGTGGCTGCGGCTCGCGCCGCCCGGATGCCCTCCTGCTACTTTGCTCGCGACGTCCCTGGCTATCCGAAGGCGGTGCCCGCCGACGCGGTCGCGCGCAACATGAACGACGTGCGGACAGCTGTGGAAGACTTTTGTGGCGTCACATTCCGCGACGCGACCACGCACATATCCACGCGATATGGCATATGACAGGTGGTCAGCGTGCGCGCCCTCGCTTGGGATGTCTTCGTCAGTTTTTTCACCTTTCTGATTCTGTACAGATACAGCGCAACAGCTCACTCATAGAGAGGCGAAATGCCGGCCTTTTTTTTCTTTGCCTGTGGCTGTGCGGTAGAGGGTAGTGCTAGCACGCGCCAGTCGCAGTCCGCATGTGCCTTCTTTTTCTTTTTTGTCCTTCTCGGCGGCCCAAATGCAAATCCTGGCACCTGGGGGCTCGGCTCTGGGCCGGCGCGGGGCCCCCCGGAGGCACCGTGCGCCGCGCCGCAGTGCGGAAACGGGGCTCCGGCGCTCAGAGTCGCTCAGAGCACCGACTTCCCGAATGATCACGGTTGATCAGAGGGCAGATTTGGAGAGATCTCGAGGAGTACATACAGATAGACCCTCCAACCATCAGAAAACTCCGACCTGATCGGTCGTACTGACCGCCCACAGATCACTCCAGACAGCAGACAGGCCGACGTCTGCACGCGGCCGGCCGGGCGAGAGGCTTGACACGATCCGACCCTGCGACCCTGACGCTGCTGCTCTAGCTATCAGCCATGCACTGCTGACTGCTGCCACAATGTGCGACCTGTGCTGGCCCACTTGGCGGCCTTCCCGGTCAGTGGTGAGGCGCAGTTCAGAGCTGTCGATGGCGCGATGCCGCACTGGTCCCACATCGGTGACACGAGACCACCAAGTTTGCCGGTCCAAGAGAGAGGCACCGGCGCTGTCCTGAGAAGGTGCGTGGTCCCTCTTGACTGCCCATGCGCGCGAGGCTGTGTAGGCATAGCCTCGAGAGTGCCAGCAGCCAATCCGAGGCGACGCGCATTGCGCCAGAAGCGTGCACACGTTGGAAGGACACCTTCCTACTGGCCGTACGATCAGGTCGTCACTGAATGCTTGATACTAAGGCCGCGAGCTATGCAGGTGATCAATTGTGCATCATGGCACGGTCAGCTGCGCCGACAGGCTGTCGCAAGGCGTGATAGCATGGCCGCAAGTACGCCGAATTCCCATGAAAACAAGTAAAAAATCGCGAAAAAAGAAAAAAACTCCAAAAAATCGGCGCCTGCGGCGGGCCATGGGACCCCATCCCCCCCCCGCATGGACACCCTCTGGGGCCCCCGCGCCGGCCCAGAGGGGCTCGGGCCTTTTTCCGGACGGACCCCGGCGGTGTGAACGGGTAGTCTCCCCCCATCCCCAGGGCCTCCAGGCCGCTCGCACCTCAACCTCTCACAGACCAGCGCGCACAGCGCCATAGCGCATAGGACGTATTTTCTTCTCAATAACAAGGTCTGTGAAAGCGAGGAGGTTGATTGATCCATGCAAGTATTTCCTTCTCAATACTCAAACAAGGCTGTGTGAAAAAGTGAGGCGTGCGCGTGGACTGTACATGGGTCACCGCGCGCACCTCCAGTGCTCCGAGTCCGACGGCGCCCTCTACGACGCGCACATCCGGGCGGTGAAGCTGCAGGCCAAGACCACAGGCAAGGCGGAGGTGGACCTGTTTCACAACTTGTGCTGGGGGCACGGGAAGGTGGCCCTCGGCAGGTATCCGCCCGAGCTTGACGGCGCGGATGCCGCGAATCTCGCGTGAGGAATTGTGTGTGTGTGCAGTCGCGTAGGTTCCCCATGAAGACACAGTGTAATCAGTATCCTCGCTAGTGTCCACCCCCCCAGAAGAGAGACAGCAAGCGAGAAAAAAGAAAAAACATCGCGCCTGAGAGTGGGTGGGCGACCCGTACGACAGACCAAGGCCCAATCACCCGCCCTCGACTGCTGCGCCCCCGGATGACTGGCACACCACAGGCGTATTCTAGAAGGGGAAAAGAAACGGGGAACGAGGGGCCCCGCCACGAGAAGTGCGTTCTGGGGATGCAGAGCGTGCAAAGCGGAGAGGGATGAGAAGCGAGAGCGAGAGCGCGCCTGTGAGTGCTGTGAGTGCGAATGAGACGCGCATATTGTGAACTTTATGCAGCACGCAGGATTCGACCTTTTACGGGGTAAGGTATGGTGGCGTCACGGCCAAAAGGGTGGGGGGGTATGGTCCTGGCCGCCGGAGGCGGCCTGCTCGACGGGTGGGGGGGTATGGTCAAGGGAGGTCAAGGCGTGTGTAGCAAAACACACCGAAGAGCGGCACCGCGTTCGGGTGCGGAGTGATGCAGATCGCGTAGTGGAGCATGTTGGATAGCACGAAGCCGGCGCGGCGCATGGGCCGGCTGGGCAGGAGGAGGAGCCCTTGGTCTTGGTCTTGGGGGAAGTCCTCATTGGCAGGAAGGGCGACGTCAGCGAGGGCAGCGGAGAGAACGGCAGCGGAGTGGGAGAGAGGGTAGCAGAGGCGAGGATTGTGGCAGTGAGGGCGGGTGTGAGCGGCTGTGCGGTCGGGGCTCAATGGTGGAGCTGATGGCAGTGGCGCGGGGCGTCTGCGCGGCATGAGCGCGCACCTTGCTGTGGTCGCGAATGGCCTTCAGAAGGCCGTCGAGGTCAACCTCGATCAGCTTCAGGACGCCGTTGGAAATGGCTTCTTCTACGTGCTCGAGGAGGACAATGCGACGCGTCTGCTGGCCACAGCGCCGCCGCCGTGGGGGCAAACAATCCCATCACTCCCGGCCGGCGGCGGCTTCCAGATGACGCACTGGAGGCATCTCGTGCCGGTGCTCATCCATCGGCTCGCACGCCACTCGGGTCGCACGCGGCAGCTCAGCGCGGCGTCGTGCTGCGTGGTCGCCTCGCCGCCCTTCGGCTCGATTGCGGCTGGCCGCGACTGCAACCGCGCCGACTGGGAGCGGCTCTGCCCGGGCAAGCCCATCGTGGCGATGGACGGCCCCGACGCTGACGGCAAACGCGACTCGCTGTGCGCACCGCTGTGGCGTCGCTGTCGCGAGAATGGGCCGCGCGACGCGATCGTCCGCGTCTCGGGCAGCCCGCCCGGCCTCGTTGACATCGACGGCACACGCAGCCTTTGCCGCAGGCTCGACGTGCCCTACCTGGGCCACGCACGGCTGCCGCTTGCCGCGGCGCGACCGGCGGAGCGCCCGACCCGGATCGCATACGCTGGTGCTGTTTGGGGCCATCTTGACTCGGAGGCGATGGGCTTCAACGCTTGGCGCCGCGCCATCCGTGACGAGTGCAGGCGGCAGCACGACAAGGACTCGAACAGCTGCAAGTGGTCCTGGGTCTCGATGCGAGGCTCGGGTGCGCCCGCGGCGCTCACCCTGTACGCGGCTTCGACCTTTTGCCTCCAGCCTCCCGGCGATACGATCTCGCGCTCGGGCATCGTCGACGCCGTGACGCTCGGCTGCATCCCAGTCTTCTTCCACCCACAGCAACGCGAGCTCTGGACAGATCACTGGCGCGCCGCCGAGGCGAGCGTGCTATTCGACTGGACGCCGGCAGCTTGGGCGGAGGGTGCGCCGCAGCCACTTGTCAAGGACCCGGCGGTATATGCGGCGCGAGCGGCCGCCATGATGGCCGAGCTGATCGCGATGCCCGCAGAGCGCGTGGCTGCGCTGCGTGAGGCCGTGGCCAGAGCGGCGCCCGCGCTAGTCTACGCGGCGAGCGAGGGCGGCGGCCAAGCGGGCGGCACGCGCGGCGCGAGTGCGGACGCGGTCGATCACTTGGTGGCAAGGATGCGCGCGCTTCGACTCGAGCCCTCGACGGAGGAGCAAGCGCGCTATGAGCAGCAGCTTGCGAGGCGAGCCGCCGACCGCGTGGCGCACAAAGCCCGGCGGGCCGAGCACTCTGCCTGGCTAACGACGCGAAACGACACCCTTGGCAAACGGGGCAAGGAGAGGTCTCCGAAGGCGAAGCGGCTCGAGAGGCGGCCGAAGGGATGACTTGTCACATGCGCGGGCGGCCGCGGTACCGTGTTTCTTGTACGGAGAGGTACGAATGAGAGGCAACCCACTCGGTGCGAGGGAGCAGACAGCGGGAGATAGCAGAGCGCAGGGGGACTCCCGCGCGTACAATGAAATCTTTCGGCAAGCCTTCCGATCCGCCGACCACCAATACTTCCGAGCTCCAAAACAGAGCGTCGCACTCGCACACCTCGGGACCGGCTCCGCCTTCCGCCTTCCGGGCTCCGCCGCCTCCGCGCAAGATTACGTGCGAAAACCACTTATCACCGCGAGCCCTGGCGCTGCCGTCGCAAATAGCCGCGTCGAGTGGGAGAGCACGCTCGCCGGCTCCCTGCAGCCTCGCCCGTTGCTTTCGCAAATTGGCGCCACTGACGGGCGCGGTGCAGCTCCTCCAGCTCATCGTCGTACTTCAGGTTCTCAAGACCTGTGCGCTTTGTCGTGTGAAAACTCCAGCGTTGTTAATCTAATAATAGTAGCAAGGCCTGGCACGCGCAGCATCGCCAGTCGCCCGATCGCCGCGTCAGAATGGCCCGCCATCTCAAACAGCGCGGTCGCGTCCGCAGGTCCCGCGCACTTTCTCAAGAAGTAGCTGCTGCAGAGGTGTTGGTCGACAAACCGAGTGACGTCGTAGATGTCATATGTCGTCGGCTTACAGACACCACTGGTCATCACGTCGAATACGCCCCATAGGGAGGTCGGCGTCCGAGGCGTGCGGTTGCTCAGCTGTTGCGTGCCTAAGAGAGACGGCGAGAGAAAAGCAGGGATTGAGAGAGGAGGAGGGTGCAAATGCGAGTCTCAAGGTGCATGCACCGATCTGAACGAGCAGACGGCCGGTCTTTTCCTGCGCAAGCTGCTTCCATGATCGGCGCAGCACGAAAAAATGACGCTTCCATCCCACGGAGGCAGACGGTGGCGGCAATGTGCCGCCGAAGAAAAGATGCGCTTGCGCCTTGAGCTCGCATTCGAGGAGCTTGCGCCAAAGTTGCGGTGCATTGGCAGCGTCATTGCAGGCGCGGCTGACTTGGGAGAGCACAAGAAGAGCAGCGGGGCCCAGGTTCGCCGCAACCGAGAGCAGCAGGTCGTGGGGCAGCCGCTGGTCCATGGTCATGTTGTCGGGCCGTGCGTCCCTTGTCCCCCTGAACTTTAGTAGGAATCGAATCCTAGTCATGCAGTTCGTCATTGTAAACCCCGTAAGCAGTTCACCTTCGGCTTTCTTCGTAAGAGCCACATAAACGTACGTAAAACCGTACTGTGGGTTCGTAAGAGCTACACACGCGCTCTCCCTGTTCTCCCATTAAAGCTAAAAGTACGTGCGGCCGATGGGCGACACGTTGAGCATGCCTGCGCTCGCAGCACGCAGGGCGCGGCGGCGAGGCGCGTCGCGAGCGGCGGTCGCCGAGACGTGTGTGCACGTGTGTGGAGAAGAGCGGAGGGGCAACAAAACGGCGGGCGAGTAACGGAAGAGTTGAATGAATTTTACCCTTCCTCGCACGACACTGGGCACGGGACTGGCGCGCACTGGCACTAACGAGTTGAAGCTATGGCGCCCGTGTCCGCTGTCTCTCTATCGTACTCGGCTCGCCCCCCACCTCCCTCCCCACAACTAGCTTAGGTTAGGTACAACTTGGAGCACTTGGAGTGCGCGTCGGAAAATTCTTTTCGGGCGCCGGCACTTGTTCAGCGCCGCCCGTGTGAGTGCCTATCTCGCTCCGCCGGATGGCGTCTCGTGCAAGCGCTCGCGTGCCACAGGACTCTTCTTCGCTGAGCTCAAGTCGCGCTGCGCCCAACTCGGGCCGCGCAGCAAGCTCAACAGCGTCGAGAGGGCGTGGATCTCGGCGACCGGAAAGCGATTCTGAAGCAGCGGAGGAGAGCGCTGCCGACGAGGAAGAGGAGGAGGGTCACGAGGGTGGCAGCGAGGAGGATGCCGAAGAGGAGGCATCTCCCACCTACATAGTATTTCCGTGGATTGGCGGGCACTGCCACTACCACCCGCTCGCCCTCACTGACGTTCCCGCCCCTCAAACGCAGGAGGAGGAGGAGGGGGAGGAGGAGGAGGAGGAGGAGGAGGAGGAGGAGGAGGACGGCGAGGAGGAAGACGGTGGCGAGGAGGACGGCGACGAGGAGGAAGAGGAGGACGAGGATGAGGACGAAGAGGCAGCGGGGGAGGAGGAGGAGGAGGAGGACGAGGACGAGGATGGCCTCCCGATCGTCCGCAACGAGGACGGCGAGGTGGAGTATGCTCCCCAGCCGGCGCCGTACGACAGCGCCGAGCTGGCCGAGGTGCGGAGCCTGCCACGCGCCATATCCGAGACCCTTCGCGTCTCCCTCGCCCGCCGCGCACCGCCGCTGCTCCGCACCGGCGCCGCGGTCCGTGGTGACGCGTCCGACAGGAGACATGCACGTGTCCATGAACATGCAACATGTGCATGCCCATGCACATGTCCCCGCCACGCCTGCAGGTGCAGAGCCTGCTGCGCGGCGAGGACACGGCGGACGACGCGTCCCGCTGGAAGCCGCTGGCGCTGCCGCCGCCGCCGCAGGGCGGCGGCGCGAGGAGGGTTCGTGGGCCACGAGATGCCCGGCGACGAGATCTCGGCGAGATCTCGGCGAGATCTCGGCGAGATCTCGGCGATCTCTCGGCGCTATCTCGGCGCTATGTGGCGCTATGCCGCAGGTGCCCGCCCCGCTGCTTGGCGATCTACTCTACGTGGCGGGCGTGCTGCGCGCCTTTGGCCGCCAGCTTGGGCTGGGAGAGGCGAGACGTAGCCGAGATTAGCCGAGATAGCGCCGAGATAGCGCCGAGAGCCGCCAGCTCGGGCTGGGAGAGGCGGGCGTGAGGAGTGGCGGGGGGGAGAGAGACCGCGGCGCAGATTTGGGGAGGGTTAGGCGTGGAGTGGCATGGGTAGATGTGGACATGGCGGGAGGCGGTCACACCTGTACTCGACGGCCGCAGGTGCGCGTGGACGCGCTCGACGCCGCGCTAGGGGGCGGCGCGACGACCGCGCTGGCGATGCGGCTGCACGTCTCGCTGCTGCGCCTCCTCTTTGAGCCGAGTGCGGCGCTCGCGCGCTCGCACCCCGCCTTTTGCCACGCCCTGCGCAACCTCTCCGCACTGACGTGGGCTGAGGCGCTCGCAGAGGCGCCCCCCCTCCCCCCCCCCTTCGCCCCCCCTCCCCCTTCTCCCCCCCTCTCTGCTCTCCCTCCCTCCCTCCCGCCCGTCCTGCGCGCTCGCGTCTCGCGCCCTCCTCACGAGAACTGTGTGGACAGGCGCTCCTTCGGCTCGCCGATGGGCAGGCGACACGGCGCCCCTTCCGGCACCTCTCCTCGACTCTCCCGGACCTCTCCCGGACCTCTCCAGCACCCTCCCCGCGGACCCTCCCTCGACCTCTCCTCGACCTCTCCTCGACCGTCCCTCGACCGTCACTAGACCGCATGCACACCCACCAGCAGGACCGCGCCGCGCCCCCGCGTCCGCGGCTGTCGTGCCGCCTGCGCTGCCTGCGCGCGCGCGCCCACCGCCCCCCGCGCCCCTTCTATTCGCCGGCAGGCGACCGCCGAGCTCGCCCTCGCCGTGCGAGGGCTGAGGAGTGGCGAGTACCACACGCTGCCCCCGGAGCGGCGCGTCCTCGCCGCGAGGCTACTCGCTGAGCGCGCGGCCGAGCACCCGTCGCTGCGCGCGTCGCTGGAGCGGCGGGCCGAGTGGTACGAGGCGCATGATTGGGCTCGGGAGCCTAGAGGCGAAAGACGGCGCCTTGTGCACTCCAGCTCGCGCGCGAGAGGACACGGACTCCGCCGTCTTTTCCCGCGACAACTCGCTTGTACTCGTGTCGTCCTCCCACCCCGACCTCGGCCTGTTCCTGTCGTCGAGCACCTGAGAGGACATGTCTCGGACATGTCATGGACGTGTCCCGGTAGGCGTGGGAGCCGGCGATGCTGCTCGGCAGGCTGCAGTGTTGGCCGCCGCACCGGCTGCTGCGCTGGGAGCCGCTCGGCAGGGACCGGCACGGGCGAGTCTACTGGCTTCTCGACGGTGCGTGTCCGGCCCGCGGTACGGTGTGGGGGCAGTCGGACGGCGGAGTGTGAGCGGGGACGGCAGGGAGAGGGGTGGGCGGGAGACGGGTCGCGGCTCTGACGGCGGGGAGAGGGGTCGCGGGCCCTGCGTCGCGGCCCGGCGCCACACACGCAATGCGGCGGCGCCTCCCTCTTGACGCACGCGCCGCGGCGCGCCGGTGCAGGTTCCCTCTGGGTACAGCGCCGAGACGCGTCCGCCACAGACGAGGCTGCAGACCCGAGCCTCTCCGGTGGGAGGCCGGGGGCAGGCGTCGCTCTCACGCTCTCTCCCGCTCTCCCGCTCTCCCGCTCTCCCGCTCTCCCGCTCTCCCCGCGCCGCCCCCTCGCTCGCACCTCTCCCCTCTCGGCACACGCGCCTCCTCCCCTCCCTGCGCACCAGCCGCCGCCGCGCTCGCCTTCGCCGCTCCAGCGGAGTCTCACACCCCTCCTCCTCCTGTGGGTGTAGGCGTGCCGGGCGTGGCCACAGTCCGGTACGGCGGGGAGGACCTGCAGGCGGTGGCCGCCGCGCTGTCCGCCGCGGCGGGGCCGGTCTGCGAGCGGCGCGTCCACTTCACGCTCCGCCGGCTGCTGCGCGGCGGCGAGCTGGGCGAAGCGCGCCGCGCGGCGGAGGAGGCGGCGGCAGAGGTGGGGGAGGGCGCGAGCGGATCGCCGGCGGTCGACGCGGCGCTGCCGTCGGAGGATGCAGCGCTTGGTAGCGCGGCGGCCTGCCCCTTTTCCGGCCGGCGCGTGCGGCTCGCTGCGTACGACGTGGTGCGCCACCTCGAGGCGCACGCCGCGGACTGCGCCGTCGTGCCGTCGCTGGAGCTGTTTCGGTACGCGCTGCTGCACATCGAGGCGCGCTGCGAGGCGAGATTGGGCGAGATTGGGCGAGATTGGGCGAGATTGGGCGGGGGCGCGGCAATCTAGAGCTTGCCCGCTCCTCAAGTGAGCACAGAACTCCTGTATCGCAGGCGCAGCTTCCGCGCGAGCTGCTCGGCGAAGGGTGGGGCGAGCGGCGCGCCGGCTGGGTGGCGGAGCTCAAGGCAGAGGGGCTGGCCGCCGCCGGCTTCGCGGCGCGGATGCTCGAGCTCGAGGAAGCGCTGGTATGCGACGCGCTCACCCGCCGCTGGCTGGTGCCGCCCTTCTCCTCCGAGGCGGAGGAGCTCGCGGCGGCGACGCCAAAGCCGCGTGGCGGCCGCGCGAGGGGGGGGCGCGGCGCGGCCGACGCCGAGGCGGGTGGGGCGACGGCCGACGGCGCCGCGAGCTCCGCAGGCGCGGCCAGCTCGGGGCGCGGCCGCGGCCGCGGGGGGAGGCGCCAGTCGGGGGGGGGCACCGACACGCGGCACAAAAACGACCTCCGCGTCGCGCTGCGCGAGCAGCAGCAGCGCGAGGCGCTGGCGAAGCAGCAGGCGGATCGCGCGGCGCGCCTCGCCAAGCGGCGCGGCAGCTTGGAGGCGCGGCCGCGGCCCGGCGCGGCCGACGACGGCGACGGCGCGTCAGAGGCGGCTACCGACGGCGCGAGCCGGGCGGTGACGCCGGCACCCCCGGAACGAGGCCCGACGCGGCGTCGACGGCGGAGGGGGAAGGGGCGGAGGGGGTGGACGACGCGTTGAGGCCGTGGTCGTGGGATCGGCCCAAGGGCGGGCGCGGGCGCGGGCGCGGGCGCGGGCGCGGGCGTGGGCGCGGAAGTGGACCGGCCGCGGCGGCGGCGGGCGGGAATGGTGGCACGGGCGGCGGCAGCGACGAGGAGGGGCTCGACCCAGACGATGCCGAGGCGATCCGGTGCGACATGTGCGGCGGTGCCGAGGACGAGGCGCAGCTGCTCATGTGCGACGCGTGCGACCGCGCGACGCACACGTACTGCGCGCGCCCCGAGCTGCCGGCGGTGCCGAGCGGCGACTGGTTCTGCGCGAGCTGCACGCTGCAGCGCGCCGTCGCGGAGCGGTGCGGCGACGTCGTGGCGGGCTCCGCGCCCGTCCTCGAGGAGCTGGCGTGGGCGACGCACTCGAGCCGCGAGCTCTGGCGCGCCAAGGCGGCGCTGGCGCGCACGTCAGCGCAGCTCTTCCTCCACTTGCGCGAGCTGGTCGACGCGCTGGAGCGCCCGCGGCTGCGGCCGCTGCTCGAGGCGTCGCTCGAGTGGCAGCGGCAGGAGAAGGCGGCGCGCCGCCGCGCGCTCCTCGACCATCAGGCGAGCCGCTCGGAGCTCAAGCAGCTGGCGCGCGAGCAGCGCGAGGTGTGCGCAAGCCCAGACGCGGAGTACGGACTGATCTCTTCCCACTAGCGCCCGAGAGGACACGCATTCCGCTGTACTCGGCCGTATTCCGCTGTATTCACTGCATTCGCATCCCTCGTGTTCACGCGGTGCTCTGAAGACTCTGCACGATGCCGTAGTCCCGCCCTGAGGTCGGCGTATTCACAACGTAGGTGTACAAGCTCGTCGAGTCGCTGGTCAAGCGGACCGAGCGGCAGGCGGAGAAGGACGCGCGGCAGGAGGCGAAGCAGGCGGCGAGGCGCGCGAGCCTCGCCGTCGTCGCCGCCCAGAAGGAGGAGTCGCGGCAGGCGAAGCTCGCCCTCGCGGCCGAGCGGCGCGCCGAGGAGCAGCGCAAGCGCGAGGAGCGCGAGGAGGAGCGGCGGTGCGCCGAGGTGAGGCGGTGCGTCGAGCGGCTCGTCAAGCAGCTGGAGCGCGAGGCGGAGCAGGGCGAGCTCTACTGCATTTGCCGCAAGCCGTACAACCCGACATGGTTCTACATCTCGTGCGACACGTGCGGCGACTGGCGCGCACGGCGGCAAGCGGACGCACGCCCGCGAGCCGTGGGGGCTCACCACGCGCCGGCCACACCGTAGGTTCCACGGGAAGTGCGTCGGCATCAACGCGAAGCAAGGCAGCCGGATCGTCGAGTACGTCTGCGACGCGTGCTCGCGCACCACCGGACGGACCACTCGCTGGGTCTCTGGCGCGGCCGGAGACCCGGCGGCGGCGGCGGCGCCGAGCCGGCACAGCGGCCGCGAGATCAAGCGGCCGTCTCTCCCGGCGGCCGGCGCGAGTCTGCCCCGCCCCGCGCCGAAGCCATCGGCGCCAAAGTACCCACGCGTGCGGCTGAAGCTCCACGTGCCTCCCGGCGAGGTGTGCGGACGCAGCAGCCGCAGCGGGCGGACAGGGCCGGGCGGACAGGGCCCAGGTCGCCCACTCTGGCGCACCGCCCCGCCCGCAGGTGCTACTTCCCCCCCTCAAGCCGCCGCCCAGCGTCAAGGCGGCCAAGCGAGCGCGCGCGTCGTCGCCGCCGCCACTGCCGCCGCCGCCGCCGCCGCCGCCGCCGCAGGCGCCGCCGCCGCCGTGGCTGACTTCCGCGCTGCGGCGGCGCGAGCAGATCCCAGCGGGCGGATACCCGCGCGTGCGTCTGCGACTCGAGCGCCCGGGCGAGAGCGGCGGCGCGGCGGGCGGAGGGAGCGGAGAGGCCGCGCCATCAGAGGGCCTTGCTCCTCCCGCGGTCCAGCCGGCGCCCTCGGAGGACGAGCATCCGCGCGAGCAGCCACCATCGGCCGAGGCGGTGGCGCCGGCTGAGTCGAGCGGGCTGGACGAGATGGAGGACCTCCTGATGCGCGCGGAGAACGCGCCGCCGCCTTCCCTGCCGCCCTCACCGCCGGACTCGCCAAGTGCCAGCGCTATGCCGGTGGCGACAGCCCCGCCTTTCCTTGAGCTCGCTGCCGCCGCAGTCGCTCCGATGGTCGTCGCTCCCGCTGCTGTCGAGGCTCCCCGCCGTAGACGTTGAACACAGCCCCCAGTGTATTCCGACTAGCTCTCGAGACGACGTCGTCAGCTGTATTCAGCTGTATTCATAGCTGGTGTATGCAGCTGTTTTCCGCTGTATTCATAGCCGGTGCACTCCTGCGATGCTCCCTGGACGATACCGTGTTCACGCCCCGACTCTGGTGCATTCACCGCGTAGGTGCCCCGCCCGATGGAGAGAGTGGCGCCAGCAGCATCCGCTCTTCCCCCTGCAGCGCTAGCCTCGAGGGTCGCTGCGGCCGCCGCCGCCCTGCCGCACTCTGGGAGCGAGCAGGCGTGGAAGCCGTCGGTGGGCGGCCGCGCCGAGGTAGCGCTGCCCGACGAGGGCCTCGAGGGGTCGTGGTATTCGGCCGAGGTGCTCGGCGTGCGAGGCGGCGGCGGCGCGGGCCCGCTCGAGGCGCACGTGCGCGTGGCCGGCCTTCTCGCCGACGGGGAGGGCGAGGCTGGCTTGTTGGAGGAGTGGCACACCGCGGCGCGGCTGCGGCCGCCGCCGCCGCCGCCGCCCGCCGATTTCCCCGCGGGGCTCAAGCCAGGCTCGATCGCCGAGGTGTGGCACCGGCGGGGCTGGTGGCCCGTGTCCGTGCTGCGGGCCGTGGGCGAGGTCGGCGTGTGGGAGCTAGAGCTGTGTGGCTACGAGGTCGAGTTGCGTGCGCCGGCGCGGCTGCTGCGGCCGAGCTGGCGGTGGGAGCCCGCTGGGCGACGCGGCGCTCCGAGCTGGAGCATCGCCGAGAAGCCCTCAGCCGCCGGCAAGGCGAAAGCAAAGGCGAAGCGGCGCTCGTCGGAGCTGCTGCCGGGCACAAAGGGGGCGGAGCAGGAGGGCGCGGCGCGCGGCGCGCGGGAGCTGCTGCACCACTTTGCGCCCGGCACGACGGTCGAGATCGCCGGCGTCGAGGATGGCTTCTTCGGCTCGTGGTACACGGCGCGCGTCCTCGAGACGCGCGAGGCGCGCGGCGCCGGCAAGCTCCGCGTGCGGTACGACGCCTTCCGTGAGGACGACGGCTCGACTTGGGAGGATTGGGTCGAGCTCGAGCACGTGCGGCCGCTGCCGCCGCGCCACAAGCCGCAGTTTGTCACCGAGCTGGACGCGTCGGCGCCCCTGGAGCTCCTCTTCAAAGAAGGGTGGTGGGAGGCGAGCGTCCTCCCCCTTCCCCTCTTCCCCTCCCCTCCCCTCCCCTCCCCCCCTTCCTCTCGGACGCGGCTCTCCGACTCCGTCCATCCCTCCCCTAGGTGCTCTACGACGGCAGGGCGGGCGGCGGGAGGCACGCCGTCGTCGCGCCGCAGTACAATGTGCACCACACAGTGCCTGCCTCGCAGCTGCGGCCGGCGTGGCGTTGGGCCGCCGCCGAGCGTACTTGGGACGTGCGGCTCGATTCCAGCGACGCACCCGCCGCTCCGGCACCAAAGCCGACCAAGGCGTTCAAAGTGAGGTGACACGTGACGCACACGTGCCGTCCGCAGATAGGGATCTGTGTGCGCAGGGCCGCACAGCCTGCTCCCTCTCGGACGCGGCTCTGTGTCGGCGTCTTCTTTATCGTTTAACGTACATATTCACAGCACATGTGTGTGCCGTCCACTAGCCCTCCACCTAGGGCTCCACTGCCTCCGTGGTCTCTATTCCGCAAGCGCTGCTTCCGAGACAGATGGCCCCGCTTCCGAGACGGATGCCCCCGCTTCCAGCACAAGCACCGCGCCCTCCTCGTGGCCGAGCACGGCGCGAGCGGCTGCCTCAGCGCTGTCGAGCGGCGCTTCTGGCGCCGCCTGGTCTGGCTGGGGGGAGAGGGGTGGCGTCCCCACGCCCGGCGAGTCGCAAGCCTGCGCCTCGCCCGGCACGACTGCCTGAGCCGCCCTCGCCGCCATCCAAGCCGCCTCCGCCGCCTGCGCTGCCTCCGACTGCGTGGCGACCTGTATGGGCAGCTGCGACGCGGGCTGCGGCTCTGGCAGCGGCTCCGTTGTAGCAGCAGTCACAGTCACCAGCGGCGACTGCGCTGCAGCGGCGGTGCTCCAGGCCCCTTGAACGACCGGCGGGGAGGTGAGCAGCTGCGGCGGCTTATCGGCGGGGGGAGGGCAGAGGGCGGGCTTGTTGGCGAGCTCTGGGTGGTGGGTTCGCTTGTGTTGGTACAGGCCGCCGTAACTGGCGTACGCCTTGTCACAGACTGGGCACTCCCACTCGAGCTCGTCCGGTATTCGGTCCTCCTCGCGTGGGCGGCCGCGGGGCCGCTTGCCGGAGTTGGGCGCCACCGGCTTGGCGTCCGACATCAGCCACGGGTGATGCTTCCGCTTATGCTGGTACAGGCCGCCGTACGTGACGTACGAGGCGCCGCAGCCCGCCTCCTCGCAAAAGAAGCTCGCTTGCGCGTTTGGGTCGGCGGGAGGCCGGCCGCGCTTCTTGCGGCTCGCAGCGGGAGCTGGAGCTGTGGGTGTATTGTTAGCGACCGCCGGCTCTGCAGAACCCGGGGTGGAGATGGGTTCGTCGACCACCAACTCTGCCACCAACTCCAGCTGCGCCATTTAGCGAGGTTTGCGTCGGATATTGGTTTTCTTTCGCCGTGCACCAAAGCCAATGCGTGCAAAGGCCTTCCTTTTTTTCCTCGTTTGGAAAACGATCATCTAAGGTTCCTGTCTATGCCATACTATCGCTACCGAGGTGTGGTTGGTGTCGATTGATATCTATCTACAGCTGTGGCGGAGGATGCTCTCGCGCTGGCGGCGGCGACCCTGGCGGCGGCGGCCGAGATGCGGCAGCACGTGGGCGCGGCTTGAGCTGTCGCACCGTACACGGCTTTACACCCAGTCCCAGGGGCAGCGACCGAGCGAGCGCCAACGACCAAGCGTGAACAGGGCTCCAGGCCCCAAATTACGTGTGAGTGTTAGAGTTGTTTGGTATTGATTGCTAAAAATCTCTCTCTCTCCCAACGTGAGTCGTGAGAGTGTGCAACACCAAACGACGTTTCAAAAGATTTTGGGGCGTTCTTGTCCACGTTTTTGTCGATGGACGATGCTGCCCCATAGGCCATAGCCATACAACTTACATGACATGACTTTATGCGTTACGTGGCTGGGTTCACAGCGATTGTAGGAAAGTGTCGGGACCAAATCCCGGTCGCGGCCTTCCGACTCGCGCCTTCGCCTCACAGGCACTATTGTAGCCCTGGCCGGTGCGCGTGCGGAGTTGAAGTTCCGGAGTGAAAATTCGAACGCGTTCTCTCACGGTGACCAAAAAATGTCCACCTCAGAGGCACCTCCGGAGGCAGGCCGCCGCACGCCGGCGACACAGCTCCAGCTGTCGAACTGACCCGCAGCTCCTCTCAGAGCGCGAACTGTGACGAAAGTTGACTGAGGCGGTTGTCAGGAATCATCATACGGATCACATGGTGGCTCTCTCATGACGGAAGACCGCCCGACCCTGAGCCCTGGTGTCGAGGTGTCGAGGCCCGGTGTCGAGGGTGTCGAGCTGCTGTCGAGCTGCTGTCGAGGGATAGAGGTGTCGAGGCCTGTCGAGGCCTGTCGAGGCCTGTCGAGGCCTGTCGAGGCCTGTTGAGGCCTGTCGAGGCTGAAACCATGCTTGACCGTGTCGAGGGGTGTCGAGGGGTGTCGAGGGTGTCGAGGGTGTCGAGGGTGTCGAGGGTGTCGAGCAGGTGTCGAGTGTTGTCAAGGGGTTTTGCGTCTAAGGTGTCGAGGTGTCCAAGGTGGCAGGATGCAGTTGCAGCCCATCAACAAAACTTGGGCAGCAGTTGCAAAGCTGTTTCATCCCTTAGTTGCAGCCTCAGTTGCACCCTGTTGATGTAGCACAACCTGAGCACAACCAGTATACTCTCTGTGGACATTTGAGGACATCAAGTGCCGGGAGTCATTGCCACTGTGCACAAAGGTACTGTGCAGGCGCAGCACCGCAGCAGCGTCGCCGCTGCAGCAGCGTCGCCCCTGCAGCGCCACCGGCGCACAAAGCGCAACTGACCACAGCGCTCATGGCACAAGGCTGGTGCCATGAGTCAGTGGACATTGCCACTGCACAAGGTGCTGTCCAGCAGCTAAGGGCGCAGCCAGTACCCCATCGCAGCAGCGTCGCCGCCGCTGCAGCGTCGCCGTTGCAGCCAAGCGTCGCCAGTGCACAAAGCGCAATGGACCACAGGTCTGCACTCATGGCACAAGCTCACTGGTGTGAGGATTCATTGCCACTGTACAAGGTGCTGTGCAGCACCTGAGGGCTACCTGAGTACTGCCATGTTTGCTGCATCAACAGGGGTGCAACTGAGCTGCAACTTGAGCTAGAACTTGAGAGGCTGCAACTCAGGGATGAAAGTACTGCCAGCCAAGTTTGATTGCTGCTGCAACCCTGATTTCTAACTCTGACTCCAATGGGTCTACATCTCTGCTGTGTTAGGATCATCAGAGGTGTCGAGCGGTGTCGAGCGGTGTCGAGCGGTGTCGAGGGGTGTCGAGCGGTGTCGAGGGGTGTCGAGGGGTGTCGAGGTGTCGAGTTTGGCACCTTGACACGGTCGAGCATGGTTTCAGCCTAGATGGTGTCGAGGGGCGTCGAGGGGTGTCGAGGGGTGTCGAGGGGTGTCGAGTTGGTCGAGTTGGCATGGGGTGTCGAGGTGTCGAGTTGGTGTCGAGTTGGTGTCGAGGTTTGGTGTCGAGGTGTCGAGGCCAGGGCTCAGGCCCGACCACTCCTGGGTGGCACTGCCACCGGTGTCGCTCGACGTCCTGTCGACAGCGTGCCAACAGCGACACATACCATGTGGGGCGCGTCGAGTATCGACCTCTACTGCTTACCCAGCCTTCGAGTGTATCCTGGCTGTGGTCCCACACCCACTGGTGTCCATCTCAGAGACCGCAGGAGGTCATGAGGGTCGATGGGAGTGCCAACCCCACAATGCCTAAAAACCCAGCCCAGTATGGCGGGCCTCCTTGCATGTATGCGTAGCCGTAGGCCACCCCCCGAGACGACAAGACGGTAGAGACGCTACGCC